AGAGCAATACACTTCTGAAGTCTCGATTGCCAACCTACAGCCCCACCTGCAAAAGTGATCAAATAACCCGAAGTAGACTTATGAGTATCCACATCCCCTGCCATATCTGCATCTGTGTACCCAACTAATAATTGTTGTCCGTTTCCCAAACCAAGTCTCAAACTGGAAGTGCCTCGAAGATACCTCATGATCCACTTCACTGCATTCCAATGTTCTCTTACCGGATTTGACAAAAATCGGCTAACTACACCAACTGCATGGGCTATATCTGGTCTTGTGCAAATCATTGCATACATCAAACTTCCTACTGCTGAGGCGTAAGGAACTCTTTTCATGTCTTCCTTTTCCTTATCTGTAGAAGGACATTGCTTTGTACTCAGTCTTAAGTGGGTAGCAAGAGGAGAGCTAACCACATTAGTGTTGTCCATATTGAACCTCTGAAACACTTTTTCAATGTACTCCTCCTGTGACAAATATAACTTCTTGGCACTCCTATCATGACTGATTCTTATGCCAAGAATTTTCTTTGCTGGCCCCAAATCCTTCATAGCAAATGACTTACTCAATTGCTTCTTCAACTGGTCAATCCTTGAAGCATTCCTGCCAACAATCAACATGTCATCCACATAAAGCAGTAGAATAATAAAATCATCATCAGGGAATTTTTTAACAAATACACAGTGATCAGAAGTTGTCTTCTTGTAGCCTTGCTCCCCCATAACAGACTCAAACTTCTTATACCACTGTCTCGGTACTTGTTTCAAACCATATAGGCTTTTCTTCAGCTTGCACACATAATCCTCTTTCCCTTTCACTTTGAAACCCTCTGGCTGCTTCATATAAATTTCTTCCTCCAAATCACCATGAAGAAAGGCAATTTTCACATCCATCTGCTCAACTTCCAAGTCAAGACTAGCTGTTAGGCCGAGTGCTATACAGATCGATGACATCTTTACAACTGGAGGGAAGATCTCATCAAAGTCAATACATTTTCTTTGACCGAACCCTTTGACAACCAATCTAGCTTTGTACCGTGGCTGTGAAGAGAACCCATTTGGCTTCTTCCTGTAAATCCACTTGTTTTCCAAAGCTCTTTTTCCTTTAGGTAGCTTTACTAACTCAAATGTGTGGTTATCATGCAATGACTGCATCTCATCTTGCATGGCCTCAACCCACTCTGTCTTGTGTTCATCTTCTATTGCTTCTGCAAAACACTGGGGCTTTCCCCCGTCAGTCAATAACACATACTGCTCTGCTGAATACCAAGTGGAAGGACGTCGGTCTCTGGGAGACTTCCTGGATAGAATCTCTGGTGGAATCTCTGGCGCTGTCAACTGCTCATCAATCTCAACATCTCCCTGAACCTGTAAAGGAACATCCACATCACCTGTACACTGGTGGTCATCTTGAACATCATTCTCAACCTGAGATGGCAGATTCTTCAGAGGAGCTGGATCTACATCAGTCAAGATATCACCTTGCTGAGACATAGATTTCCCTGTTTTCTCAATATCCTGAATCATCTGATCTTCTACAAACACGACATCTCTGCTTCTCACAATTTTCTTCTCAATTGGATCATAAAGCTTATACCCAAACTCATCTTGGCCATAGCCAAGGAATATACACTGTCGCGTTTTCACATCAAGTTTGGACCTTTCATCTTTTGGAATATGCACAAATGTTTTGCACCCAAAAACATGCAAATGATTATAGGAGACATCCTTACCTGTCCAAACTCGGTCTGGCACATCAAACTGTAAAGGAACACAGGGTGTAAGATTCAACACATGAACAACTGTGCTCAATGCCTACACCCAAAAGGATTTTGGCAATTGGGCTTGTAAAAGCAAACATTTCACTCTCTCGACCAATGTCCTATTTATCCTTTCTGCTATGCCATTTAACTGAGGAGTTTTAGGAGTTGTCTTTTGATGCCGGATACCCTGCTGTCTACAATACTCATCAAAAGGACCAGAATACTCTCCGCCGTTATCAGTACGAATGCATCTCAATTTCTTCCCAATCTGTCTCTCAACTAGGGCTTGAAATTGCTTAAACACTGCTAACACTTGGTCTTTTGAATTCAAGGTATATACCCACAACTTCCTTGAATGATCATCTATAAAGGTCACAAAGTATCTGGAGCCACCAAGTGTTCTCGTCTTCATAGGGCCACACACATCTGAATGTACCAAATCCAGTATCTCTGACTTTCTCGAATGAGGGGAATTCTTGAAGGAGACTCTGCTCTGCTTTCCTGACAAACAATGAGTACACCTTTTCAGAAGTGTACTTTTCAGTCCATATAGTAAATTTTTCTTCCCTAGTAGAGCTAATCATTTCTCACTCATGTGAGCCAGTCTTTTGTGCCACAACTCTGTTGTATCATTATCCTCCATCGTATTAACAATGTCGTTAGAGATCTTTGCTTGCAGAATGTATAGTGCAGAGTGCTTCATACCTCGAGCCACAACCATAGCACCCCTGGTAAGCTTACACTGGCCATCACCGAAAGTGCTGCAATACCCTTCATCATCAAGTTTACTTGCAGAAATCAAATTCAAATGAATGTCAGGAACATGCTTCACATCTCTGAGAACTAACTTCGTGCCATTATTCGTCTTCAGATACACATCCCCAATTCCAATGGCTTTAACCAAGCCATCGTTGCCCATCTTTACTATTTCAAAATCACCAGATTTATAAGTTGTAAAGAAATCCTTCCGAGATGTAGCATGAATGGAGGCACCACTGTCAATCACCCAATTGGTCTCATTGTATGCAACATTTATCGTCTTATCATCATAAACAATGAAGAAGTCTGCAGGAGTGGTGGTAGCAACTTTGTCATCACCATCTTTGTCATCTCCATTCTTTGTTCCATTCCCTTTCTCATTCTTGTTTTCTTTCTTCAATTGCCTGCAATATTTCTTAATGTGTCCCTTTTTCTCGCAATGATAACACTCAACATTTGCAAACTTGTTGGACTTGCTTCTGTTGTTATCTTTGTTCTTCAGACCTCTGCTCTTACTTCTCTCCCTCTTTTCTGTAACCAAGATCTCTGACTGTGAAGAGGATCCCTGTGTTTTTCTTCTCATCTCGTCATTTAGCAAACAACTCTTGGCCATATCCATTGTGATTATACCTTCTGGAGTGGAGTTAGACAATGAAGTTCTGAGCGCCTCCCACGAGTCCGGTAATGAACCAAGCAACCATAACCCTTGTATCTCATCATCAAACTTAATACCCATTCCAGCCAGCTGATTAATAATTCCTTGGAATGTATTCAGGTGATCAGATAAAGGAGTCCCGTCCTGGTATCTCAAAGCCATCATCTGCTTAATCAGAAACAATTTATTATTTCCAGTCTTTCTAGCATATAGCTGTTCAAGCTTACTCCATAGAGAACGTGCATTTGTCTCTCCACTAATATGATTCAAAACATTATCATCTACCCACTGCCTCATACACCCACACACCTGTCGATGTAACAAAGTCCATTCCACAACAGTGTTGTTTTCTGGTTTTTTAGCACTAAATACCGGTAGGTAATAATCTTTCACATAAAGAAGATTCTCCATTTTTCCTTTCTATATTTGATAATTTGAACCATTAAGATTAATCATTCTACTCGTATTTAATTCCATAACTCAAACTGCCAACCTGGCAATCTGTCAACCTGGAGCTCTGATACCACTTTGTTGGGAAAGATAACAATAAACAAATATAGCGGAATAACTCTTCTCCCTATATACAAACAAATATAGTATATCTCTACTTTTATATGTGCTGGAAATAATAGGGAAAAAACAAAAAAACAATCACACCAAGCCACAAGAACACAAGCAATTTTTTACGTGTAAAATTTTCCCAATGTGAGGAACAAAAACCACGGGACCTAGTTCAGTTAAAATCTCCTTTATCAACCAAATAATGGGTACACAAAGTCTTCTTTAATCGCAATTAGAGGTTACAATACATCTCATCAAGATATCAACAATCTTGGCAAAAACAAAGAGAATTGGAGAGAAAAATACCAAAATTTGGTTACTGTTCACGGGTACGAATCACTGTTCCTGAGCTCAAAATCCGATCTCCACCGTTCAGATTTTAACTCATTAAGTCATGAACCTCTCCTCCAAATTTTAGCTCGATCGGACCACGGACGAAGCGAGATCGGACGTTTGATGAAATCTGGACAGAATAGAAAAAAGCTGCGTTTTTTCCTTCTCTTTCTTTTGAAACTTGCGAACCTCTCTCTCTTTTTATTCTGACTTCCTTAGGGTTACTTACCCTAAAGAACTGGGCTTTGGGTTTCAATAAAACTCACTTGGGTTTTTCTCTATATAGAAGGAAATAAACCCAACAGTTTTAAGGCAAAAAGTTTAGAAATGACTTTGTAAATGGTGTTACACCAAAAATATATGTCTAAAGTTATTCACAAAAAAAAATTTGTAATTATCGGAGAAAGATGTGTTGAAGCCAGACATAAGCCAAGTTGAAGTATGTTAAACCAACTTGATGTCTTATGAGTATGAAACCTTATGGCCGTGGGGATGAAATTTCAAATTTTCAAAGAACTTTATTTATCACTTGTCACTAAAAATCATTTATTACTATTATTATTATTATTTAACGCAGCAAAAGACACTAAAACAACTGTATTTTTCCATCTTTATCACAAGCCTAAGGACAAACTATTGCACCATCCTCTTCCAACACACGTAATTATGTGCCACATTCAACAAATTTAGTCCCCAATCAAATATATTCCAAAATCTCCAAATTGAACAAGTCCAGTCCTCCACAGCATTTTTAGGAGTCATAAACTCTCCAACTCTTGCCCAATTCATCCCACGTGTGCGCTTGCATGTCTTCACAGAACGAACCTTCTTTACACGTGTCAACAAAACCTCACCCTTCTTCTACAACCTTCCATATATTAGCCCGTCTCACTCTCCCCCTCTCTCTCTACAACATACTTTCTGCTCTCAACGATGGCTGATCGGCACGCCGGCACCGGCCAAACCCAGAGAGCAACAAGACCCACCACCAACGGCCCTGGAGGTGCATTTCTGCGTAAACTCCATGAACATGCACCGAACTCAACCCAGCTCCTCGGTTTCTTGACCCTCATCATCTCCGGAGGCATCTTGCTCCTCCTCACCGGTCTAACCATCACCGCCGTTGTTATGGGTATGATCTTCTTCACACCGTTGATCGTCATATTGAGCCCGATATGGGTCCCGGTGGCCACCATCCTCTTCTTCGCCATTGCCGGGTTCTTGTCCGTGTGCGGCTTTGCAGTGTCAGCGGTGGCCGGTCTCTCTTGGATGTACAGGTACTTCCGGGGCTTCCACCCTCCCGGTTCGGACCGGGTTGATTATGCCAGAAGCCGAATTGCCGACACGGCGAGTCACGTGAAAGACTATGCGAGGGAGTATGGTGGGTATTTGCATAGCAAGGTGAAAGATGCAGCTCCAGGCGCCTGAGGGATATTATGTTAATTTTCTTCTGAATGTGTTGGGTAATAGTAATTTTTTATTTTTATTATTATTTTTTTTTCCATCATGGTTGTATGAGAGTTTGGGTGGTTTTAATTTAAATTTTTTTTTTTTCCTTGTTTGCTGATCTGATTGGAGCGTGCATGGGGACTGAGTTTAGAGGTATTCTTAGTCCCATGCATGATTCATGAAGGGTATGAGTAATATATATGGAGGTGAACCTGCTATCTTAATTTAAACTCTATGTGATACCGTTCTATTCCATATCTTATACTATATATATATATATATATATATATATATATATATATATATAAACTATTAATTATAAATTAGGTCAGTGATGAATCTGATGATATCGTTCTATATATCAATCCTGTTATGGGTAAACCACTTTGTATAATTAATTCTCAGTTTGTGATACTGATCAGTAGTACTGCCATTTGCTTTTATAGTTTTCTGGTAGCCAAACCACAGTAAATTATTACATGGTTTTTGAGACGTGATAAAAAAAAATCTAAATAACATTGACGACATATTTGCTTATGTGTTAAATTGTGATTTATCATAATCTCAAATCTTTAAATTGTGATTTATCTGAATCTCAAATCTGTAAAAAATAAGCGCAACATCCCATCCATTCTCTGTATCTTATTTTTTTCTTGCTACCATGTTCATTCCCTCTATTTTTATTTATTTTTTTGGCGATTAGATCGAGATTATGAGGTTACTGACAATGAGTTACTACTATGCCATATAAAAATATCACTATTTTTTTTAATTTCTGCAACGCTGCCCACTTTCTTCATTGCATGCCACGTAGATATAAATTCATGCTTGCAGAATTAGCTCCGCCATGGTCCCCTGCTTGCATGGCACACATATATACATTCATAGTACAAAATTTGATTGGTAAAATTAGATCCCAAATAATGATATGGAATGGTTATAATTTAACTATTTTTATCTTATGCAATGGTTACAATTTAATTATTTTTATCTTTGCAAAAAATAACACACCCATTTACTTTTGATGCGGCTTTGAAGTCTCCAAAATACGGTCGAAGGTAATAAATACCATTAAAGTACAAAATTAAAAAAAGAAAAAGAGAAAAAAAAAGGAGGAGTACAAAATTCAAATGACATCAAATCAAATTTGAAGAAATTTGTCTCACACACGTCACAAGACTCTGTTAAGGTGAGCTCAAATGTGGCTACCGTAAGCTTTTGTGTTATATATTTGGATAATTATATTTACCATTTTTTAAAATTGTTTAAATTAACATATACCCTAAAATTGACCTCCCCTCTAAGTTGCAGTGACAATTTGTGTTTGTGTAACAATTTGTGTTTGTATCGATGTAAGGGTATTATACTAAATAGGTAAATTTAAATCCAATCCATTTAATAATCGTGTCAAGAATTCTCACCACTAACCCAACTCGTTTATTAAACAAGTAAACATATTAACCCGTTTAATGACATGTTTATCAAAATGAGACATTTAATATTTAATTAAATACTAAATAATAGAAAAAATTTGTCATAATTAATTCAAATATTCAAAATAAAAAGAAAAATCATAAGGTATAGACAATGTTTATGTTGAAATGACTTAATTATCCATATTAATTAGGTTTAAACAGATAACATAATACATAAGTCATATTCACAATTATAACATGCTGAGTTAAATGGGTTATAAATGGATTACACGGGTTGAACCCCTGAACCTTAATCCGACACGGTTAAGTAAACGAGTTAATCTTGTCGACCCTTTTATGACCTAAACACGTTTATGCTAAACTCAAACCCTTTTAACTCGTGTCGTATCGTAATTTGTCACTTCTACCTCTAAGTAACACTGATTTCTCTTGTTTGACACTCTTATCTATTTAATGTCATGTTCACAATTTACTTAAAATTTGTATAAATTTTTTTATTTTTTTGTCACTTGGCAATGGTTAGGGAGAGATGTTAAAGGGGAAAGGGAAATGATATTGTTAGGTTTTGAACAAGGGCCAAAGACTTCAAACAATACACGCACTACCACTGAATTAGTACATTATTTTAAATTCATAAAAAGCTTTAAAAATACTATATATATATATATATATATATATATGTTGAACTAATAAAAATGGTATAGGTATAATAATACTCATTTACCACATTTGGGTTAAAGTCAACAAAGAAAGCTAGTGACTATTAGAGGAAGTTTTTGTTATTTATTCAATTTATGAGGAGGTAAATGTAATTATTTCCAAATATTTTCTTAAAAAAATCACAATTAGATTTTTTTGTCACGAAGAGAGAGAGTAAGTGCGTGAATATTTTCGGAGTGGAATTAGATACAGAAGATTATTTCGTACGCAAAATACATGTGGTGGTCAGTAGTGTCTCCCATGGAATCTCCTCACATAGGACCATCACATCCGGCCAAATTTCTCCCTTAAAACTTCGCATATACCAATGTTATGGTTCAGATTTCGTCAAGGTATATGTTCAGATACAACTAAATTTGTTAGCTGTATATTTTGACTAAATGATGATGTGGTAGAATTTGAGCTACATTATTGAGTTATACAAAGCTCGTGAAAGAAACTTGGTTGGAGAAGATGGTAATTATGAATATTCAAAGAAAATAATGTTGAGGGATAAGGCTGAGTAGAGGTACGTTCGCGTAGTACAAAAATAATGATAATCGGGTAGAAAGATGTCAATTCACTTTGGAAGCATTAACATAAAGTGGATCAAAGTGGGATACACCATGTGTCACCTCAGTCATTTTACCAAATATGGACAATTGAACCAATCCACCGAAGACACTAAAAAAAGGCAATGCAAAAGATGGCCACAACTTTTAGTTGATGTACCTCATATGTAGACATGAATGTTTCCTACCCATTTCTACATAAATGGATGGGTTTATATTTTGCCATATTTGGATGAAGTGAAGATTGTTGTTAACTTTAATTCAAAATCAAGTTCTATATATCCTTCTAATTTTATAACTTTGCTCAAAATTTTGCCCATTGTGATCCATTGAAACACACACACATGGAGCGCAGCACAAATTTTAAGTATCAAAGCAATCTTAATTACGTCCAATTCAATTCTGAACATTGAAGCATTACAAAGCAATCTTAATTACGTCCAATTCAATTCTGAACATTGAAGCATTACAAAGCTATCTAAGACACGAGAGATACCAATCACCCAATATATATATAAGTATGCACACTTGAAGATACGTGCAGAGTCTTCTTCTAAAGTTATCCCTTGACGATCAGAGAAGATGCAAGAGATAATCCATATCCAGGTTGAAGTACTCATGTTGTCATGGGATTGACATGAAATTGAAAGTTTGTGGACTTTTTTTTTTTCACACATTAACTTTGCTTATTTGGAGATTCAAACCTTCACCATCCATTTTAGGAGATAAAGAAGATACCAGTGATCCACAAAGCACTTGGTAAAAATCTGTAGATTGATATTGCTGCATATAAAAAATTATATGCAGTGGTGAGAGACTAAGAGAACAAATATATATATCCATTAATGAATTAAATATGTAAATCATAGACACTAACTATAATATGCTTACTAATGCATATAAAATACACAAATAAATAAAAAGAAAAAAGTTGATATTCGCACTCTTTGATGAATTCAGTAAAATGACTTCACTATTATTAATTTAATAAACATCAAATCATCATTAAAAACAGACTTGCCATTTGCTTTAAGAAAAAGACAAAAAGTGGTGTTTTTTTCTTTATTCTTCGTCTTCCAAAAGTGAGCAATGGTTTGCATTTATTTATCAAATAACTAGTAAGTCTAATTAAATTAATATCATGTCTCTAACTATGTACTGTTTAATTTCCTGCAAGGATATTTCTTTCTTGACACTAATGGCATAGGGATTAGATTATGAATAACGAACTTGGATCCTCTTCTATGCACCGGATAATAAACAGTTTAGTGTAATTAGATTATGCATATCAAACTTGGATCCTCTTCTGTGCACGGGATAGTGAACAGTTTAGTGCATAATGAAAGGGTGAAGATCGATGGTGGGCTCACTCGATCTGGCTGTGTGGTGATTTTCGCCTCTTGCACTCTGAACACGATCCGTACACATGAGAGGATCGAGGTTCATGTGATATAGGCTCTTCATGATAGTTCATGATTCCAAATAATGAGCAATTTACCTTTTAAAAAAAAAGAAAAAAAAGATATATATATATATATATATATATATATTGGGGTCGCTTGATTACCTCTTGGGGCATTCCAATATCACGCTGACAACTGAGGATGATAGGTGAGCTCCAATCATCCAACATATTATGATTCTGCTCTGGATCACCACCGGCCGTGACAAAGGGAGTACTCAAGTCGCAGTTGCTTGCTCCTAAACATGGTACTACTTTTGATTGGTGGAGTCTCATCTTCTTTTTTTCTCTTGTGAGCTCCCTAGCCCTCTCTCTTGCCTTGGCCCTCGATTCTCGTATTGCCTCAGGGTTCATTAATGCAATTCTACGCCATGCATTAACTTCCTTTTTCTTCTTTGCAACACGTCTCGACCTCGTCGACAAGGGTTTCGAACCTTTGGTCACGATCTTAATGGAAGACACCATTACTTCATTACACAACTCCGAAGTAGAAGAAGAAGCGCTAATGTTTGCACCAGCAGCAGCAGCAGCAGCAGCAACAGCAACAGTTGTACTGCAGCACGAGCCGACGAGTTCGTTGATGGAGGCTCTGGACTTCTTCATCAACCATTGGATTGTCATACTAGCTTTATCGAATCCCAGCATGTCTTGAAGATGGAAGAAGTCGCGGGCAACTTCAAGGGACAGTCTCATTCTTCGGCCTCTTGGACCTCGAGCTGTTTCGATCTTTCTCTGCCTATCCTTTCCGGTAGTACTGCTACTCTTTTCCGGTGCTGATATCTGCTCGGTCATGCAATGATGATCTCCATTCACTAGTCCCCCAATATCTGCACACTGGTCGTGGTTACTTTTTTCATCATTTTCCATGTTAGTCACGGCCTCGGCGCCTATACTAGTAGTATAATTATCATGGTCATGGAGGCAGTGGAGAAAAAGGTTGTCGTCTTCACAGTAAATATTGTAAGGAGAAGGGAAGTGGAAGAGGAAAGAGGGAGGGTCTTCTACTAGTACTTGTTTGGAACTCATTATCAATATTACTATTGACAAAAGTCTGATGATTTAATTGGTTAATTGGCAGTGATCAGAGCTACCAGTACTGTAAGAGATGCAGCTAGGGTTTTTAGTTGTTGGCATTGCACACTTAGTTTGGAGGGATACATCTATCTAGCTAGCTGTATGGGCTATATATATATACATACCTATATATATATATATATTCCTCTTTGTAATTAATTGCATGCACCATATGCATAACATATATGTTTTGCATTTGAATTGGGCTAGAGCTAGCTGAGCATGACAGATACACCATGCATATATTTTGTTGATTAGAAGACCTAGCTAGCTCCACCCGGTGGTCCTAGCTGGCTAAAGCCATCATTTTCTTTCCTGCAAATAATTAAGAAACAATGAAGATTTGATCAGAAAGGTTCACCATATGTTTCGTGTTTTCTTTTTTCATCTATCTTGTGTGTGCTGAGATAGTACTGTTTAGAGAGAAAGAGAGAGAGAGTTCTCTTTCTGCGCAATTATTTACATATATGCTCAGAAATAAAGGTACGTGCCAGCTGCTTCATTGAAAAGGACGTGTGGCTTAATACAATGTATTGGTTGGATTTTGTGAGTCTGTGTGTGTCATACAAAACTGACTGCATGTGTTTGTGTCTGTGTGTGCAAGTGTGTGAGAGAGATTTTACATTTACCTTTCTCAAGCAAGGTTCAAAGCTTTGTGATCGATGGGACTGTGAGAGAGATAGTGTGTTAATGGAGGTGAGACTATGTAAAAGACGGGGAATCAAGGGGGGTATTTATAATTTTATAGAGAAAAAAGTTGGTAGCACAAAGTTATTCTTCGTTTGAGCTGTGGGTCTTCCTCTCCTGACTCACATGATATGATTTAAAACATCGCTACTATGTTTAGTATATTTTATTTGTACATCTTGCCAATTGAATCAGTCATGCTAATTATGGTTGCATTGCATGTATAAGATATTTTGTTGTTGAATGAGTGTTGCATCTCCTAGATATAACGTGTTACGTATTTAATTTATTAGTGCAAAACTAATGACACGGGAAGGAATAAGGAGCAAAAAAAGAGATGATCAAAAGCAATGGAAAAAGACATGATAAAAAAATAAAATAAAAACAAATGAACGATTCGAAAGTGTGTGGACAAGAACCACTTCGTTTTGTGCTATTTCACGTGATCAAGGAGCAGACCAGAGAGAGTGATTGTTAGTCGATACAATATTCACCTATACTGTTATACAATATAACATATATACATACAATATATTGTCAACACCACAAAATAAAAAATTTAATTTATTTATAGAATTGACAATTTAAAGTTCTTTCCTTCCTATGAGAGGGAGGGAAAGAGAAAGGAAAGGAAAGAAAAACTAACGAAAAAAGGCATGATGAAAAGCAACGGCGATAGTGTGGTAAGTGGGTGGACAGGAGCCACTTCATTTTGTGCTACTTCACGTGATGTCCTCTTAAGGAGATAAGAGATAGAGAGGGAGAAACGTTGTCATAGGAAGATAGGATATCACATCTTTATATGCTCAGCTGCATGCACGTGTCCATGTCTAAAACAAGCCAATGAAACGACAAAAATAACTTTCGTTGAAGAGGCATAATACAGCGGGGCGTGTCCATCGAGGAGACAATGCTCCTTTGACTGGGTGATTCCCACTCAGCCACCTCCTCGTTCATTATATTGTCGTGGGATCATCGTCCCCCAGCAACAGCGTATTCTAATTGAGTACCCTACATAAACGGCACATATATTCTCGACTCATTAAAATTCACATATTTGGTTTTATACTTTTCTCAGTCATGATTCGCTGTATTATTTAATGTACGATTTTTTTTTTCAAGTTTAGTACAAGATCTCAGTTTATATTGACTTTGTCCAAACTTATTACACTACAACCGCGACAGATACTTTTATATATTTTTATATTGTAACTCATTTGGAATACCTATACCGAGTTTGACTTGTTCTAACTAATCAAATTATAACTAACGATATGTAATTCAACAAAAAAATCTACTGTCTCTTTTTATTTTTTAATAGGTAGAGAATAAAGTTAGGTAACAAATAGCTATAATATTAAAAGGAATAATTATTGAAACAAGAAGTTTTGAAGGTTAATTTACAAAGTGATAGAATCAAAGTCCATGTTTTTTTTTGGGTCATGAATTTTTCTGAAAGTGTGAGGTAAATATAAATTACTGCTTATTTACTCAAACTATCATTTATTTTCAAATACAACTTTTGTGTATGTAAGTATCATTCTTGTGCACGCATGTACTAATTTTGTGCAAATTAACCAATTAAGTCACCAAAATGGTATATGCACAACGGTACCTCTGTACACACAAGAGTGGTAATTATATGCATAAAAGTGATATTTCTAATCATAAGAGTAATATATTTATACACAAAAGTGGTACCTGAAAATACTAAGGGTAGTTTGGACAAATAAACAACGTTTTTCTATGTCCACCTTATGCTTTTAAAAAAATACATGACTATGAAAAATGTTGATTTTGATTCCATGTCTTTGTAAATTGGCCTCTAAAACTCCATATTTCTGTAATCATTCCATATTAAAAATACATAACGATGCTTACTTGTTATTCCAAGAAACATGAACCTTAAATCAAATACTATCCCATATGCATCTTATAATCTCTTATATAGTGGCTACTTGCTAATGCACATTTCGACTTACATAACGATTTACATAAAGCGTACATGTATAACAATTGAGTTTTATTTTTTTTGGTTAGCAGCCTCCTAACAGGTAAGCAAGCTTCCACTGAGTTGAGTCCGAGTTTTGCATTAAAATGGTTGATTCCAAGTCCACATGAAATGAGAGTCCTTTTCATGTGTTCCTGCATACGCATGCTTAGGGGCTTACCTCTTGTCTGCTTTAGGAGCCAAAAGCTCTCTCTCTCTCTCACACACACACACACACTATACGGTACAGTTTCTCAATAAATGGTTGTTAGCTAGATTGTGGTTGTATATGGCACAGATATAAACAATATGTCATAAACAAGCTACCTCCGTGGAACTCTAGCCAATCGAAGTTTTCCCATATATATATATACAGTATATAACGTGCATCACTGTTTCCATGTATCTCATCTCATATGAAGATGTCGACAAAAGAATCCATATTTGAAAGTCTGATCGTACAATATTATTCTTTCCATATATACATGCCGCCTAACGATCCATTTCTCTCTCTTATTCTGGTTCCCTACCAGAGCCTTGTCCTCTTTAGATTGTCATTATTACGAGGACCACATTTATATGTAGTGAGATGGGTTGTTCTTGGGTTGCTTTCAAGGATAAGATTAGTATGGCTAAAAGGACCTGATATGTGTACTATATATATAAGCGTGGTGGACATATATATTATTGGAGTATATATATGACAAATTTCATTATAAATTTTGCAAACCGTGATTGTACTTTTTTTTGCCAATATTTATGATTTTATTGTATTGATCTTGGTTTCCAACTACCCATTTTTATTTGGACTATTTGACGAATCAGTTTATTAGTTGATGAACCCTGTAGAGTGTATAATTAACAATAGTGTAATTCCCAATTTTGGGAATGATACATGTATATTGGAATTTCCCCGCACCACCCATTGTGGACTTTTCGCTGTTTACTTTTAAGGCTTTGAGGTTTTGGTCGTAAATGTAATTTTGGACAATGAAGTTTCAAATAACATAAATGCCCTCAAATTAAATTAAATTTTATTCAGAAAATATTAACAATGTCAGCGAACAAAAAGACCCCTTTACAATTGGCAACTAAAGAAATTTTTTTTTTTTTGACCTCAACACCAAAGAGGGAGAAAGAGGGCTCCCCTCTTTAGAGAGGGTGTCGCCACCACAAACCACCATCGCCACCTCTACCACCGGCTGTCCTTTCTCTCTCCACTCACCACCGCAACATCAACCCCACAACTAACACCTATCATCGCCACTTCTACCACCGGTTATCCTTTCTCTCTCCACTCACCACCGCAACATCAACCCCACAACTAACACCCATCATCGCCGACACGTTCTCACCACTAACCGCCATCGCCACCACCATCCCAGTCCGCTGTCACCACCCACCAAAATCGAACCCAATTCTCCAATCTGAAACCTCATACATACATAAATACATATATATATATACTAGGAAAAGGCACGTGCGTTGCACGTGGTGAATATTTTTGTTCATATATTTTTTAATTGTTTATAGTTCTAATGGTTTATAGTTTTCGTTATATGATATTGTCATATATCAAATGAATTCATATCAACAATGTTTAAAGAGTAATAATGGTCACCACAAAAGAAACAAAATAAGGTTTTCCATTGATGGATGAATCATCTAAGTATGATATATTAGAAAATCCGATGTGTTAGAATTTTATAAAAAAATAGATTTATTAGGTAACTTGTAATTTGAATTTTATTAGGTAATTTGAAAATGGTGATTAATTTTATTACGTAATTTTTAGAATTTTATAGAAACTATTTTCATAAACCCTATATATAAAAACTCTTTTTATATCCATTAATAAATATTTTATATTAAATAATAAATATTTTATAGTTTTATAGAAACTCTTTTTATATTAATTAATAATTTTTTTTATTTTTTTTATATTTTGTGTTAGAGTTTTATAGAAACTCTTTTAATAATAGTATAGATTTTTTTTATACTAATTAATAAATATTTTATAGTTTTATAGAAACTCTTTTTATAAAAACTATTTTTGTAGTTTGAATTTTATTAGGTAATTTAAAATGGTGATATTTTTTTATATTTTGTGTTAGAATTTTATAGAAACCCTTTTAATAATAGTATAGATTTATTAGGTAATTTTTAATTTGAATTTTATTAGGTAATTTAAAATTGGTGATTGATTTTATTAGCTAGTTTTAAAGTTTTATAGAAACTCTTTTTATATTAATTAATAGATATTTTATATTAATTA